ATGGACCATGGTGTCGTTGTCCCACAGCTCCCAGTGGTCAGAGGCATGTACAATGGCCATGTAATGGCCAGGGCCGTGCACAATGCAGGCAGAGATGTCGGATGGAGGATTAAACCACTCACCTGCTCGAGCATTGAGTAGTTCAAGTTGACGGTCCATCATTGCTACTTGTAGGACAGCAATGGTGAAGCCTCCTTCGCTGGTATAATTGCAATCCTCTGGCTGTCATTGGGGAAGATCAGCATCAAGCTGAAGGGCGATTGCAAGGAAGTCTGATGGTGTATAAAACGGGCGATGGAGAATGTGAAGACAAATATTAGTTGCTGTCAAACCACAGAGATTGGTGAGGTTCTCAGGCTGGTTTGTTGGATGCTGGCCAACAATTTGCAGATCACCCAGATGGTGTTGCAAGCCCAAACTGTGTTGGGTTGTTTGCTGGTCAGTCATTTGCAGATCACCCATGTGGTCTGCGTGTGGCGGAGCCCAAAATTGTGTTTGCACAATGTTGGTCAGCCATTTGCAGATCCCCCATGTGGTCTACGCCTTGTGGGGTCAACTGCAATCCGGACAGATCATGTTCCAATCCCTCAACGTTTAGGGCTGCATCCTGAGTAGGGACTATACTTGGAGTCGGGAGTGTACTCTGGGCAGCGGCTGCATCCTGAGTAGGGACTGGTGGTTGCCTGCAGGCAGATGGACTGTCTGCAGGAGTCATAGGAGCGGATATTGCCATTTGAAACAAAGGAACCGCAACAACCTGTGGAGGAGGCACAAAGAGAATCGGGGCAGACAAAGAAACAGGTTGCTGATCCCCAGACAAGTGACGATGCCGCGGATGTCGTCGGTGATAGACAACAAGAGGAGTAGTGGTGTTGCAAACAGACGCAAGCGAGACCATAGAGGAGATGAGGGTGGTGAGGAGGAACGCAGTCGTCTACGGCCAAGCACAGACAAAGAGGAGAGGGGGGTGCATTGGGCAAGATTTCGGAGCAAAGGACGTGAGCGTCGGCGAGATTGTGATGTTCTTTGCATTGGAGCTGCAGGACAGGATATTGTAGCAGTAAGAACTAAAATAGGGGGAATTACAGTTAGGGAAACTGTTGTACTAAAAACTGTTGTACTGAAAACTGCAGCAGTGGAAACTGCAACAGTAGAAACTGCAGCAGCGGAAACTGAAGCAGTGGAAACTGGAGCAATGGAGACTACAGCAATGGACACTGCAGCGGTGGAAACCGCAACAGTGGACACTGCAGCAATGGAAACTGCAGTAGTGAACACTGCAGAAGTGGAAACCGCACCAGTGGACACTGCAGCAGTGAAAACTGCAGGAGTGGAGACTCCAACAGTGGAAACTGCAGGAGTGGAGACTGCAGCAGTGGAAACTGCGGTAGTAGCAGATGAGTAAGCAGGGGCAGGACGAGAGCATCGTGGGGGCGAAGAAGAAATTGGATGATACAAGGACCATCGCAACATGCGTCGGAACCACTGAGAGAGACGCGTCACATGTGTAGGATAGCGACGTTGGCGGGAGCGCATGTCGCAGGGCCAACCCTTAGCAAGGGTTGGTGGGGAATGCCCACACGAAAGCATACGACGAGTAAGTGTTGTTGCCGCAGTTTGAAAGTCCTGCCAATTGTTACAAATTTGTTCAAATCTGGTCAATTGCCCAGTGAACACACCAGCCGGTTGATGGGAAAGAATGTTGGAGGTCGCACTTGGATAACGAATGACAGGGAAATCCCAAGCAGCCGCTTAAGACGCTCATGCGAAGCGAGCCATCGGAACAGACCCGTAGCTGCATACCTAAAAAGATACAAGAGCCATCTGTAGCTGTAGTCTCCGTCCACTCCAGCGCATAGTGTTCTGGTGGAGGAGGTAAATGTCCCCATGAAAGAACATCATCAATGAGGCGATAGGTGAAGGCATATTGTTGACCAGCTTGAAGATCATGTTGACGAATGTCATCAACAAAGCGTGCTCCATCCCAATACAACATTAAATTAGAAATTTTTGGGCCACCATACCGATAATTTATTTCTGAAGCGTGCCATCTCTCGTGTATAGAAAATTGTTTTGTACAACAAAGCGAAGATGTTGGAGAATCTGAGAAACGGAAAGGGTATCCGGGCCTGAATCAGATGTCCATTGGCCACAACTAGGTCCTCGAATAACCATGTTGAGGGCAATGCAGCGTGAATGCGTGCGAGCTTGCCGGCAGCTTTTGCCACATTATTCAGAATGCGGTCATGAGGAAGGTTGGTGTACATTGTGGTAAAATCAACAGTGTGAGGAGAGAGGCCACGAAGAGACGATGCATTGTTTTTCAGGTCAATCGTCACTTCATCGACACTCTAAACGATCCAGCACCGTCGAACACCAACCTGTTGATAGAGCTCGGTGTCTATATATATATATATATATATATATATCGTCACAAATAGAGCTGCCCGGTAAACCGTAGGCAGAGAGAGAGAAGAGGACAACAATCGAGGGGCCGTGACAAACTGTTTCGTCGGAGTTTCACCGACTCATCAGGAGGCTGAACCCTATATATATATATATATATATATATATATATATATATATATATA